TTTTTTATAATGGCTTCATTCATAAAGAAAATATAAAATAGATAAACAAAAACATATGTGATATGGATATTTTCAGCATAATGTGGAAGGTTGAGAAAAGAAAAAAAAAAGCATTCAACTTCGAATTGAATAATTATATATCTTGCAATAATTTAAATCAAAATCATTAAACTTATTTTTAATGACATTCTATGGTAGAATCATTTTTTTTCGTTGATTCTAAGGTAGGATCATTTTTTTTACCACATTAATAATATCACTGAAGTTATTTGCATATTTAAATTTGATCTCTCTCAACTTGTTTTTAATAATATCCCACAATTACTTTACAGTGGATATCTATTTTTTTTCTTCATGATATTACAAATTTATCCTAGGCATTTTTAAATCTAAAAAATTAAGAAAATGGCACATAGGATTAAATCCGATGTGACATGTACTCCATGCTTTTAGATTTCTCTCTCTGGTTTTTGCCTTAGTATAGTAAGTATATAGATATAGATAGATATAGATGTGAAAATTGGAAGATGGGCTGAATTATTGGGCTATTGGAACTTTCACTGTTTATCTGTTAGCCCATTTCAGGAGCACTTCATAAGCGTTCCTACTTAAACCCAAAACCCTACTAAATCTATATCATACACTGCTCTGAATCTCCATCGGCAGCAACACCCAGAAAATGTTGAACCGAGGTTTGTATTTCTACCTCAGGGTTTTCAATCCTTTCTGTAATTTCGTTTGACGCTTGATGAAAATTGAGCTTCTGCTGATCTTTAACTGTCTCGATTCTGATTCGGTTTGGTTTAAATTTGATTTAACAGGTAATAATGCTGCCCGGAACAAATCCGGTATGCTTCTTGTATTGTCGCCGGCCACCGATTTGGCTGATACAGGTGACACTTGAAGTAGGAACCTTTACATGATATTAATCGCGGGTAAAGGATTGGTTCTACTGGCTTCCTGGCCGCGATGAAGAGAAGAGGGGAATCTGATTGAATAAAGAAGGTATTTTTTAGCGTAAAGATTTGTCCTTGGTTCTTTTAATATGATATTTAAAACTGCATTCAAATGGTAGATATGATGTCCGCAACTTTTGTCTTTGGTTTGTGGAGTGATGTACTTATATGTGATTGTGTAGGCCGCTGGTAAGGAGTTATCTTGATGCATACATGATTTTTAAGTTGTGTATGCAAGATGATGTGATGCCTTATTTTACCAGCTAAATTAAATTGACAGATCGAATCTAATATCGAGTGGGATTTTTCATTTTGTAAAATCTCACTTTTCGCAGTTCGATACATTTTTTTTTTTTTTTGGGACAGTTAAATTGGGCTGAGTACAGTTTTTATTTTGTGAATGTAATTGCTATGTAAGAAACTCTAATTGCATTATCTGCCACTCCTTGTAGTTCCATTTGTGTTAAATTTGTGAATGTATGATGTATCTCATGGATATAAAACCTATTTGTTAAGATGATATTCCAGACTTAGTCAGGTATTAGCATTTATTTTCAATGGTTAATACAGTTACTAGTCTGGAAGATTGAGTGTGTCCCTCGTTACGGATGTGTTTGTACGTTTTCGCGCACATTCGCTACATTTGGGCCCTATATTTACTCTTTTATTTTAAATTTGAGTTTATGCAGCACAACTCGCCATGCAGTTTTATTTACCCTGCGGTATCATTCTAGACCTGGTTCTGCTGTATAATATGTATAGTTCTGTCATGTCCTTTGTAGTTATCTCCTATTGTTGGGTTACATAATCTGGCTTTGCTGATCATTAATATGATACTTTGTAGTTATCTCCTATCTGCCATTCCTTGTAGTTCCATTTGTGTTAAATTTGTGAATGTATAATGTATCTCATGGATATAAAACCTATTTGTTAAGATGAAACACCAGACTTAGTCAGGTATTAGCGTTTATTTTCAATGGTTAATACAGTTACTAGTCTGGAAGATTGAGTGTGTCCCTCGTTACGGATGTGTTTGTACGTTTTCGCGCACATTCGCTACATTTGGGCCCTATATTTACTCTTTTATTTTAAATTTGAGTTTATGCAGCACAACTCCCATGCAGTTTTATTTACCCTGCGGTATCATTCTAGACCTGGTTCTGCTGTATAATATGTATAGTTCTGTCATGTCCTTTGTAGTTATCTCCTATTGTCGGGTTACATAATCTGGTTTTGCTGATCATTAATATGATACTTTGGTTCTGGTCAAATATCTTGTTTTACCACAACCACAATTTAATACTCCCTCCGTCCCATAATTATTGTCCACTTTGCCCAAAAAATTGTTCCAAAATTATTGTCCAATTTGACTTTTTATGGATCAAGTTACACATTTGTCCTTAGTAAAAAAACATTATCCATAAAATCTTAATGGTTAAACAATTACTTATGTATGGGTATATCCGGTTGTTTAAGGTAAAATATAGTTAAGTTTGACCAAAAATAAAATCTTTCATTTTAGTAAAACTGGACAATAATTATGGGACGGAGGGAGTACTTTTTTGAGCACCAGCTCCCGACACATTCATGTTTTCTCCATTTTCTCTTGGTTGCCTGTTGAATTTGTTTTAGTGTTCAATTCCCCTATTGCTATTAGCTGATGTATAACACCAGACTTAGTCAGGTATCCTCCTTGATTTTTGGTGGTTGATACAGTTACATGTCTGGAAAATGAAAGGGGCCCCTCGTTACAGATGTTGTGATGCTTTTTAAGCTTACATCTGCTCCATTGGAGCCCTACATTTTTCCATACACTTGCATCCTGTTTTCTTTTAAAGGTCTTTAGAAGTTCTACATCTTCCTTTGTTTATGAAATTGCTGGTGGTTTATCAGGCTGGGGCTCGCAAATATTGTTTGGTGTGTGCCATGCTTGTTGTTTGATATCCACTTTTATCTCTTGCACATGATGGTATGAATTAAAAGGTGGAATGCAAAGCAGGAAGCTGAGAACGTGCTCGAATTGTTGTGTTTAATGATGAGGATTACGATGACCAGAAGGGTGAACCCTTACATGGCTTGTATTGAGTAATGGATTACTATGAATCAAGGTAAATCAACAAAATGAGATAAGTCAATGCTGAGTTCAGACCATGCTGCCAATACCGAATTGCCGGAGATTGTTTATGTATTTGTATAGACCTTCGATTGCAGCATAAAATGCTGCATAAATGACTTGAATACTGTCTTATTGTATAACCAATGTACTTTGAGCAAATTCCCTAAATTCAGCATTGCAACAGTTTCTGGTATTTTTGAGAAAACATCAAATCGAAACTTGTCATTTCAGTAGCATATTCTGGCAGGTCTGCTAAGACTTAACAGCTATCCTAGAGTTTTAGTAAATTATAAACAAACTCCTAATTTTAATTTTACTGTTGGGCCAGGAGTTATTTGTAGCTATAAGAAAATTGTGGGAAGTAACGTGAGTTTCACCAGAAACGTTTTGACGGAATTTTCGTTAGTTGGATAGAATTAGCTGGAAATTGAACGGTGAGGATGAATTTTGCTATCAATTCTTTTGAGGGTGAAATTAGTCAAGGGGTTTTTGGACTAAAACGAACATTTAATCCAAATAAAAAGTGTCTTCAAAGACTAGAAAGGACCAACAAAAAAAAATTTTGAAACAAAAGAATAAAACTTAATACATACTTTCCATTCAAAATTAAAATAACAACAATAATTTCCTCACAAAATTCATATAAATCTGATAATACTAGGGCATGTAAAATTTTAGATGAGTTCAGAAAAACTTATACTAGGTCTTTCACAAATCGCAAGGGAGCCGAAGACCTAATAATGGTTCAAGAAACAGATGAACCCACCAGATATTTGTCGCTACCATGGGTTGATTTCTTTAAGGAATTGCGATATAGATTAAAGAGATTGGGTTTTCTGCTAATAAAATTGCGGGAACTGCTTAAGGTTCCTGGGATTCGAGTGAGTAAGCTGCAGAGACAAAGCAGCTTATCCATAACGGCCGAAGCTTCAAAAAGGCCTCCTTATTGAAGAAGAATTCGATATGGTTGACAACTTGAACCATTTGATAAATGATGTCACATACTCACATCCATATCCCTGAAGTTTCATCAACCCAATGAAGAAAGAAATCCCTTCGTCCGTATTTTTTTTTTATTCTTGAATATAGCCCTTAGTAAAAGATGGAAGGGCAAAATTCGTTCTATAGCGTTTTTTTTTTTCTAGAGGTTAGAATTTCTCTCCCGTTACAAGGGAGCTTGTTTCTGCAAACTAATTGCAGCTTTTAGTTTCCAGCAACATGTTTGTTCATCTAGGAATACCTACGTCTCAAAGCCCAACATCGATATCAAAGTTATCTTTGGTTGTGCACATTTCACAGTCGTTTTTCACTTCTCTCAGTAGAAATTAAAATATCCACTTGTTTTACCCACATATTCTCATCCCAATCTTGTTGCATCTATCCCTATTCATTCAACTTAGTATTACTTCTCATTAATAATAAAAAAAAAAACCCCAAAATAAAACCCACACAGTTAAGTTTCATCCTCCACCTCTTTTGCTCTGTCCATGTTTCTACACCGTTTCAAGACCCCTTTCCATCCAATATAATCTTTTACTTTAACCCGATTTTCATCATTACACTAGGATCTACCCTCTACCTATTACTCTAGGTTTTCTTTTTTAATCCTCTACTCTAGCTACATGGCCCTCATGCACCTTCTGTAATTTATCATTCCCTTAATCCTTATCAACTTCTCTTTCTGTAAAATAATGTTTTATTTCTCAAATAATAGTTAACATAAATCCATTTCACTCCCCCTTCAACTTTCTATAAATTTATTGCCCTTTCAACCTCTTTGTTTCTTCCTTTCCCGCCAAAACACCTCTCTGTTCATTCTTCTCTGTTTTAATTATCTTCTCTTCTGTACAAAGAACAAAAAAAAAAATCAAAAAAAAAAAAATCAAACCATAAAACTTATAAAATCCTTTTCCTACTGATCTTACAATATGGCCTTCCGTATATATGAGGGTCGTTCTCCTCCCACCCCATTGGATGCTTCTGAATTCTCAGAGGAAGAACACGATATTCCCCTCGACGAAGAGTTTGACTTACAGTTCTATCTGGCTTTGCGACGAGGTCCTCGATATGTTTTGCAAGAAGAAGATGTTGCTGAAAGCCAACTACGATACACCAATTGCATGTTGGCCTATCTTGCGGATGACTGTCACTACAGTTTTGAAAGGATGCAAACATATCTTGATACTCACTGGGCCCCTGAAGCACAACTTTTGAGCCACTACCGGAATTTCTACGTGATTTGGTTTGCAAATCCCCTAGATTGTCGGGCTATATTCCATAATGGGCCATATGCCATAGATGGCGCTCTGCTTCTAGTCCGCCGTTGGACACCGTATACACCCTTACCCTTTACATATGTCACACGGGCTCTAGTATGGGTTAGACTGTGTGGCTTATCGCCAGAGTGCTTCAACGTTCACGCCGGATTTCGGGCAGCCTCGTTGGTTGGTCCAGTAGCTGAACTGCAACAGGGTCTTCGTAATAACCGGATATTAGATTTCCTTCAAGCAAGGGTATGGATTGACATACGAGAGCCACTACAGCCGGGTTTCTATCTCCAACTGTTTGATGGACGTTTAATCTGGATTAAATATCGATATGAGAGGATCTACAAAATATGCCGTAAGTGCGGTCTGTTGGGCCATCCTCTGATGCGATGCCCACATCAAGAGGAAAAAAATGCTAAAACGACGTATCGAGCTTCAATCTCAAGGAATTACTCGCCTCCATAACCTTCCTCTCTTCCATGGAAAATTAGATGATATGTTCCCGGCATACATGCAGGCCTTTGCACATCAACAACACCGCAGATCCACCTTTATTCCGCCGTCATATGTGACTGCTAATCACCAATTCCTGGCGGAAGCTGGTGCTGAAAACTTCCCAGATGGCTTTGAGTTTGAATTTTTGGAGGAACGTGATCACTCCCCGCTGAAGCTCTACCGTATCCAGTCCACCCACTTCCTCCTCCACTGCAACAGCCAATAGAATGGGAGTTTCAATTGACAGACGGTCCTCCTCCAGTATCTTCATCATTAGAGACCTCTAACAGCCCGGTTGACGATGGATGTGTACCCACTAATTCACCGGTGCCGATTGATACTGAAGCGATAGATATCAGCATCTCCCTCTCGCCAGCTGATGATACAGAACCAACAATTGATGTTGACTCATCTCCTCTTAAAATTGGGCCTTGGTTAAAGGGTTCACTCTGGTTCATGAGGCTGTAGCAGCTGGACTACTCACTAAACCAGATCTGGCCAATTTCCAAGGCCAGCCTCCCCCAATACAACAGGCCCAAACTCTTTTTCCTGGTGAACCATCACTAGGGCAACCTACCAACGCTGATCCAAATCAATATGGCCATGACTTCGAACCTGGCCCATCCTCCATAGGGATATCCAACTCTAATTTGGTAGATCGTTTACCCCGCAATCGGTTGGCTCCGGATATACTGCTAGAACAATTGTCTCTATGTCCTCTTTCTGGTCAACCAAATACGGGAGCTACCTCACAGATCCTCCATGAAGATTTCTGGGTACCAAATCCGCTATCAGATTCTACTCCTTCCTCGACTGGTGCTCCATCCACCAATGCTTCTGACAACGATCTTCCTTTACCCCTCACACCGGAGAAAGACTTCCCCACCTTGATTCGCCTCATTTTTTAGTGCTAAAGTATTTTCTAATTTAATGTTTATTCCTAATATTTTTCTGTGAATAAATTAGTCGCTGATTGTTCAAATTTGGTCCTATTCTGGCAAGATTTGATTCTTTTAGGGCTAATATCAAAAATACCCCGAGGTTAATTTTATTTTCTGAAACTCTCTTATTATTTGAAAAAAAAAACGATAAAATCCTCACTTGATAAATAAGTAAATCATCAAAAGGGTGTTTAGGGACTAAATATTAATGTATGGATAGAAGTAAACCAAAAATGTGCCAAGAAGACATTTGTACAATTGTACTCCCAACGAACTTTCCATGATTTGTTTTTCAAACTCTAATAGCAACCTCTAAATCTAAAATTCGCCTTTCCTAAGTTCCAAAAGCAGCACTCCTCTCTAAATTACTGAGAGTTCCAAAACTCCTGAGAAGGCCTTTGTGATTTTTTCTCAAACTCAGTAATTTGTACAATTGTACAATTGTACAAGAAGACATTTGTACAATTGTACTCCCAACGAACTTTCCATGATTTGTTTTTCAAACTCTAATAGCAACCTCTAAATCTAAAATTCGCCTTTCCTAAGTTCCAAAAGCAGCACTCCTCTCTAAATTACTGAGAGTTCCAAAACTCCTGAGAAGGCCTTTGTGATTTTTTCTCAAACTCAGTAATTTGGCCGGACGCGTCGGCTCGGTGGCGGCAGGGGACGGTCTGGTGATGGCAGCGACAGTAACAAGACTCTTCACCTACTTGTAACTAGAAATTGAGCTCAATAATCCATTATGGTACCACAAAAAGAAAAAAAAAAACCTGAATACCGTTTGCACGTGCATTACACGCGAGCGGCCCCATTAGCTCACCCTTCCCATCTCTTCCTCACTCTCTTTACGGCCCCACATGTCTTTTTATTTTTTTATTTTTTTTATTTTTCTCCTATTTTTTCAAATGATCATATCTTTTAATACATAAATAATTTTAAAACGTCTTATATATCAAATTAATTTACCCGACGATCTTTCTATTAAAATCCAATGTTAATATTTTTAGAATTAAAAATTTCATTCAAATTTATGTATCAAACACAATGCATATGTTGTTTAACTATTATCTATATGAAAAGGTAAATTATTATTTCTTTTCTTTTGCTTTATTCTTCACTAACTACATTTTGATTTTTTTGTAATTTTTAATTATTTGTTTCTTTTTCATATATTTTTCTTTGAAAAATATTTTCACAAATTATTTATATTTGAGTATATAAGAATTAAATTTATATTTTAATTTATGTCAATTTCTTTTTGTTATGAATTTATTACATACAAATTAAATTTATTATTATTACACTCTATTCGAAATCGTATATCTCTCTATACATAAACATATTTACATTTCTCAATATGCATATTAGTATGCCTTAGTATACATGTGTAAGTCTTCATATACATCTGGTAGACCTTCACATACATTGTCGTATATGTTTATTGAAAATGTTAATATTAGCATGATATTTGTGGTGGTTTATGTGTTGTTTTGAATCCTATCTATGCTAATATTAGTGCTTTGGTTCTTAATTTGATCATAGGAAGGATTTGGAACAAAAAGAAGAAAAGTGTTGATTTTGAAGAGATTTTGAAGGTTTTATTGAATCAAGTTTCAAGTTGGAGTAGAAGTGGCTGATTCCCGCATGGGCACACAAAATCCATGCTAAAATCAATGAAGGAAATAGGAAATTCCAGCAACAATGTTGTATTCCTGCGTGGGCACGCTGTAACAGGGACTAAATTATAAAATTTCTAAAGTTTTTGAGTTAAATTGTAATTTCTAAAAACTTTAGGGGCCAATTTGCAAATTTTAAAAACTTTAATTGGTTGCTGCGATTTATGAATGGGCTGAACGTGGGGATGCCCTAAATTTGCATATAAATAGTCTTTTTCTTATTATTTTGAGGGAGTTAGATTGTAGGAGGCATAGGGAGGCTCTGAGCCTCTGATTTCAAATTTTTCTCTCTGTTTTCTCCAGGACTAGCTCTGTAAGCTTAAATTATGTACTCTTTTAATATTAATTTTTTAAAGATTAGTAGCTAAACCTCTTTTCTAGTTGAAAGATTTTATTGAAGCCTTGATGTTATTCAATTGTGAGATCTAACTGTTTGCTTTTCTCCAACGAATTTTGAGTATTTATTTATTCTCTTTGATGTGCATTGATGATTATTTGATATTATTTGAATAGCTGGTAGCATTCAATTCTCCTAGATAATCTAATTTATTGAACAACAAGGTTTGTTTGTTCCTTAGAAGAGACAATGCAAATAATTACTTGGTAAGTAGTTTACCTGTGTTGTGAGAATAAATAATCAATTTTTAATGAAACAAGGTTTGTTTGTTAGAAATTGAGTTGGGTCTTTGTTTGTCGAAAACTGAATCCTAGGAGGTTCCAGGTAGTGTTTTTGGCTATAGAGTGGTTAATGAAGGTTTCTTAATTGATGGTAATTAATAAAAAAGATTGAGTTGTTAGGAGGTTCCAACAACGATAACTAATACATTCATGATTTGTTGAGTTAATCTTTGCATCAATGATTAGTTGGATACATCAAGGTGAAAATTATTCCTTTGACTAGAGTTTCTCTTATTATTGATTTTCCAAAGCTATCTTTTATTATTCGCCAGTTATTTTTTATCATCCATTAGTTATAATCTAAAAATTCGTCCATTGGGTTACTTTACTTTTGATTAGAAATATTTTCATTTCCTTGCTCCCTGAGGAGACGACCCTACTCATTGCTATACTACTAAATTTCTTAGGAGTAGGTTCTTTTATTTTTGTTGGTTTGACAACCCACCAAATTTTGGCGCGGTTGCCGGGGAGCACAGTGAAGTGATTTATTTCTCTTTAGAAGTTGTTTTTGTTTTTGCTTTTGTTTTTCTTTTCTCGATTTTGAGATTTTACTTTTGCCATGAGTTCATATGGATATCATCAGTATAACACATGGGATCCAAATGAGGTAAGACTCTTGTCCATCAGTCAACAACTAGATGAACTAACTTCTTCTGGAGGTCAACTCAAGCAGGTGCAAGCATGTGGTATATGTTCTATGCGCGGTCACACGGCTAATTTTTCTCCAAATTTTCAATATCATCCACGAGGATATGTGGGTAACGAAGGAGGATTTTGGGAATCACCACGAAGGGGATATGAGCAGAATCCATATACACATTATCCAAGTTTGCAAGATTGCCCAAATTACGACTACAACCCACTACCACCATCACAATAAGTGTATCAACCACCAATGCCAAAGCCAGAGCCAGGTATGTCTTTAGAGGAAATGATTAGAAATTTGGCGATTAATGTGCATGATCTTATATAGGAATCGCAATCTACTTGTGCTACAATTCAGAACTTGGAGAATCAAGTGTCCCAGATGGTTGCAAAAGTTAGTAGATTAGAGGCTGAGACATTTCAGATTCCAGATCAAGTTGAGAATTATGCTACAGAGAGTGAATGTACAATGGTAGTGGAAGACACTCAAATCAAGCAGGATGTACTAAAGAGGGAAGAAATAAAGGAATGTAAGAAGGAGCGACCAAAGATTGTGATACCCCCTCTTTTTCCTGGAAGGTTGAGAGGACCGATTAAAGAAAAGGTTAAACCATGTAATGTGGAGATTCCTTCTGAAGAGAATGTTCTAGTAGACGCCACACAGCTGTATGATGAAGAAAGTGTTGAAGATGCAGAGGCAGAAGAAGCAATGAAAAAGGCTTTGGAAAATATTGATAAGGAAAGTGTTGTTGCTATGCATACTTGTCCTACTTATGCAATGTTTTCATCTCTTTTAGAGAGGTTGTTAGAGCCAAAGGAGGAAGAGAATGAGAAAGAAGCCTTAGAGAGCTCTCTCGAAGGTAATGAGATTATTTCGGTAAGCAATAATTCCTATAGGACATTTAATTTAGAATTTCATCCAAAATGCAAGATCTTTGGTATGTTCACTATATTTTGCAATCTTCAACAGGTTCAACTTGGTGAATTTAGTTCGAGTAACTTACCATGTTCTATATTTGACTTGTTAAACCATGAGCCTTTATCTAAAAGCAATGTGGCTATAAATATTGTTGACGAGTCTCTTGAATTTCCTACTTGTATGTTTGAGAAATATATAGTGAAAATTGGTCGTTTTATTTTGCTTGTTACTTTTGATGTGATTGATTTGAACGAAAATTCTGCAATAAAATTGATTTCACTTTTCTTAGGAAGGTCATTTCGAAAAACTACTAGAATTAAATTAACAAATGGAGTTAAATCTTTAGGTTGGGAAATTGTGAATTTGA